TTCTAGTGATGGAAGTGATCAAGGAAATTAATTCAAGTAAGCTAAGAAGCAAATGAGATCAAGTCCCCAGGCCCAGGCAACATCCCTTTCGAACAGATCAAACATGGAGGCTTACCCTTGCAAATCTGAAATTTCACCATCATTCTGAAGATGTGCGAATCCCAACAAGTTCCTGATGCTGTCATCATAACGATCTTCAAAAAGATGGTAACCGAAAAGCCTGTAAGAACTATAGAAAAATATTTACTCTTAGGCTAGTTACCTCCACAGATCCTCTAAAAAAAATGAACATATATTATGAAAAATGCACCAAACTTAATAAAATCGATGTTTTATTGTCAAAATCTTTCTCGTTATTTAGAGTGAAGACCAAAAGGATTAATTAAATTTTATTTTCGGATCCATTTTAGAATCTTCAAAATTTTCGTTAAAAATTTTGTCTTTCTTACGTCAGCGGATGACCAAAGATTAGTATATCGTTTTTTTTTGTTTTTTTTTAATTCTTGCAAAAATCAAATAATTGTCAGATTCTAATGAAACTTTCAGAACTTATTCATAAATGAATTAAATTATTTTAGAAATGTCTTCCTTAGAAAATCTTGATAAAAACTTTTTTTTTTTTTACATCTCTTAACCCCCACCCCTAATTATTTAATTTTATGAAATTTCGAGAAATTAAATTTTGTACCGCTTAATGTTCATATTAGTTATACGCGGAATTCCTTGGACAATTTGGATTATTTTTATTTTTTTTTGTTACCGAAAATCTGCTCTGAATCGTAAAATAAAAATCAATAAAAATCAATAAAACTAAGATATTATTTAATTAGAGTGTGTACAAACTTGCCCATTTTTGTAAATATGTACATCAGAAAAATTCAATCAAACATTAGATCTCGGAGAATATTCTCCTAATTTTTTTAGATTACTGGCTAGTTAAAAATTATATAACAAAGGCGTTCATATTATATTCCTCAAGTAATTTTCACAGATATGTCCTCCGTAGAAAAAAAATCTTCCATCTGTTAATCAAGCTGTAAATTTGTCAATAGATACCTATTTTCGTGTTAAAAACTGCATTTCTGCGATATTTAAAGCTAAAAGTAATTTGTTTCAAATCAGATTAATTAAACTTTAAACCGGTTAATATTCTTCAAATAAAGTTTCAGAAAATATTTTATTTTTGAAAAAATTTTAATAAAGAAAAATATATTGTGCTAACGGATGGCTAAAAATGGCGCTAAAATCAGAGATATAAAATAAATCCTTCTAGCCAATTTAAATTAGATTTGAAATGTTGCAAAATATTTTGTTTATTGAAAATATTAAATTAAATTTAATCTATTAGGTTGAAAATAAAACTAAAATAAAAGCTTCAACAAAGATTTTTCCCTTTTTTTAAACTCATTTTAAACCTTAGGTATAGCGTTTCTTTGGAGATATCTACTTTAGGCTATTATATTTCAATATAATAATTTCTTTGGAGATATCTACTTTAGGCTATTATATTTCAAATAAAACCGAAATTTCAGCTCTGAGAAGGCATTTAAATTACTTAAAATGTGTTTTTCGGGGGTGAGGCTTAAGGAAGTCCGTGGCCGTACCTTAAAGAGATGATAAACTAATTGTAGACGCAATCTCCTACGATTCAACTTTGATTCTGCCTTGTTTGGTTACTCATAATTCATAGTGGTGAAATAAATAATTACTTTCTGAAAACGTCAATAAAAAAGTATGGAAGAGATTTGTTTTTACGTAATCTTATAAGTAAACCTAGTGATGAAAAAAAAATTACTCAACAAATATTTTTCAGCGTAATTTTCTTTTTTTTTTTTAGTCAGCGTTTTTTCCAATTTGTCACAAAGGAAGTTCATTTTTATTATTTGTATTAATTAATGTTATTCTTTTTTAGTTCGTTATAGTATGGTATGGTGCGTGTAGAGAATATTAAATGTACTTTATTAAGTTCTTCTTTGTGACATTTCCACCCAGGACGTAGGCGATCATGGCTCTCCATAATTTCTTGTCCCTTGTAGTGCTTAAAACTTTTTGTTATTTATCCTTCCTAAGTATGTTATGCGTCGTTTTCTTCTGTCCCTCTATCTGTCACGTGATTATCAAAATTTCCAAGTCCTAGCCTTCCTCATTATTGCTCCAGAAAACTCAACTGTCTCTTCCTGATGTTAAGTATTAGTTTCTTTAGACCATGTGGAAATCCGTTCTATTAGGTTACGATAGCTATTTTGTATATTTGCTAAGTTGAAAAGTCGTGTCCCATTTGAAGACAGAAAAGAATCACTTGCTTCTTTAATCTTAATCAGTATGTTCCAAGGCGATATTTACCTTCATTATTGGTAACATAATCTCATTTTATTTATTTTTTTTTTTTTTTTGCAAATTGTTGATCTCTTGTGTGTAAAATTCAAGTTTCGATGGAAACAAACTCAATTTCAGTTTGTTGAACCTCTTCACAAACTAACTTGAAAAATGACAGTCAAATGGAAACAAGGCCAAGAGAATAAGGAGGATAAGGCAAAATTTACAATATTTTCCTGGATGACTTGCACAATATATGGTCTTGCATTATCATGTGAGAGCAACGCTCCTTTACGATTAAACAACGATGGACGCCTTTGCTGCAAATTTGAGTGCAATGCTTCCAATTGACAATATTTTTCTTTCATTTGGTTTAGCACTTCATTAATGACGACACCTTCCATATCATAACTTTTTCGAGTGTATCTTGGAGATGGATTCTCTTGTTTTCAATAGGTGCTAACGGTAACCATTGTCATTTTCGTTGGATATTATTGAGAACCCACCTTTCATAACTAGTAAGAATTACCCAAGAAAGGTTCAGTAAGTCTACTCTAATGACAAACAAGGCAACTCTTTGAAAAAGCTGAGAATTAGTCAGATTTAGACACTCTAGTTCATGAAGGTGTTATCGAAGTGTGACTTGGACTATTTTATTTATTTATTTTGCTAATTCTCGTGTTATTTACTTATGATTTTCCTCAACTACAGTTTGCAGAATAATGTTAACAGAACCTGGTCGTTAAATAGGCATGGATGTGTATTGAATTTTTTTTCTATAGTCGAAATTTTAAAAATTATTTTATTATTCATATCCCTTTGGCTTTGCGAATCTAAAAAATGTGTTTTAGTTTTATCATTGATATATGAAGTTAAGAACTGGGTTATTTTTAACTTCATCTGGACTTTTAAATACCGTCAATCAATGTATCATGTGTAAATTGTTGGCTTAAGTTGTTTTTCATTCGTTTTTCAGGTCAACATTCGGTGACCATAAATTAGTATTTGAGCGTCTTTTGCGGTGCAAAACATTGATTTAAATTCTTACAGAAATCAGATAATTGTCGGATTTTAATAAAAAAAATTTCAGGATATTCACAAATTAATTAAATTATTGTAGAAACTTTTTTTTTTTTTTTTTTAGTAAAAAAAATTTTTTTTTATTTTACATGCTGCTTATTGAAAATATTAAAGTTCATCTATTAGCTTTGAATTAAAAAACTGAAATAAAAGCTTGGATTTTTTTCATTTTTGAAATGCATAAACGTTAGGTATCGCTTTTAATTTCTCTTTTGGAAGTATCTAAATAATTTGATTGTTTTGAAAATAATGATCTTAGTAGTGCTCCAGGTTTTGGGAGTTTTATTTTCCCACAATTATAACATGGTTTGTGTTCGCCATCTATACAATCTCTGTATGTTCTTCATTTGTGATAAGATTCAGTGTATAAAAATGAATTCTTAAAATATTTTTACAATTTAGCCGAGATATTTACTGTTGGTTGAGGTACTGCAGACACAGTAAACAAATTGTTACAATGCTTCATTTTAAAATGAATAATAATACTGTGGTAACTTTGTGAAAGTTTTTTTTTTCTTTAGGTGTCTTTCACTCCTGTGAATTAGGTGAACTGATGAAAAAGTATTTTTGCAGTGTGTTCAAATTTTTCTCGAATAAGAAATTTTTGTAAAGGCATTACAATATTTTATTTTCGTTTTGTTTAAAAGTTGTAGCGCTAAGATTTTAGAAGTACACGATGACAATGTTGCTAGACACGAGACCAATGCTTTTCTCGCTACACAGATAAGACAATCGTAAAAGAAGTAAACAGTTCCCCTTCCCCATGTCTTGTTTGCCCACATCCTCCTTTCTCTCCTTCCTCTCTCTTTCCCTCCTTCTTCTCCTAACCTTTCTACCAACTTCACCCTTCTCCCTCCCAATCCTGCTCCCCGCCCTTTTCCTCCTCCCCGCCCTATTCCCCCTCCCTATTCCCTCTTTTCTCTCCCTCCCTATTCCCTCTTTTCTCTCCCTCCCTATTTCCTTCTTTTCTATCCCCTACCCATTCCCTCTCGCCTCCCTCCTGAAAACTAAATATTTCCTCATGGAATTTTTAAAACTCTGTAAACCAGCAAAGTTTGCCTCCCACACCCGCCGCTCAACCTATTTCTTTCTATACAATTGTGATTTATCCAGCTGAAGTCAAGTCTGGTACATTTCTAGAAAGCACTTCCCCCAAACTAGTCACGTTTTATTTTGTTTACAAGTTACAAACAAGTACTTTGCTTGGTTGTTTATTTCTCTCGCCTATTTTGTTACGGATTGTGAGTTCATCTATTCGTTTCACGTCAGCAAGGAGTGGGTGTGTGGTACCGACCGAAAAGCTCATGCCTCTTTGAGAGATTTCTATTTGGTCTCCTACTGCTGCTGCTGCTACTACTACTAGTGTTTACATTGCAACGGCCTTCTTGTTCCACTCGCGTTATGTCTAATAATTGAAAGAGGAGGCTCACATCATTCTGACTTTTAAATGTTTATTAGTGGAATTCTTATTTTATTGGAGTTTCTTGTTTTAGAAAAACTTAACTTTTCTTATTTTTTTAAAATTTGGAGCGTTGAAAAAAATCTATCCGAATTCATATTTTAATTTTTTTTCACTGCTTAAGGCTTCTTATCAGATCGATACAATGAGAGTCGAAAAAGAAAAATCACGCTGGGGAACAGGTAAATTTTTTAACATTTTTTTCTGTGTTTTTTTTGTTTTTCTTTTTCTTCATTGAAACATTTTTAGTTTCATCACTGGTAGGTTGAGAATTTAACTTGTCTGTCTTTGGAGATTATGGGCTTTAAGTCGCTGCTTCCAATTCATCTTCTTACTTAATCAAGTACAATTTCTGACCTGTACACTTCTAAAGAAAAAAGATTGTATTTATTTTTAATAATTCTGTTACAGTTAAATCAAAGCAAATATATTTTTATTAATTTTAAAGATTTAATTTCTTTTTTTTCAAGAGACCACGTGGCTAAAGCATTGATACCACGCATCATACATTGCATGTTTAACTACGACGAGCAACACGTTTTGTTTTTAAATTCCTTGTTTTTATGTTATGATTTGATTTTAAATATCGTGACTTTTTTAGTTATTCATTTATTCTGGAGTTTGAAACAACTTTCCTGAAAAAAAAATACCTTTAGATTTTAAAGAGACTCTTCTTCTTAGTCTTACTCTAAACTTAAAGTTGTAGTGTAAAAAATCTACTTGATGATAGCTAACTTTTTTAAAAATAGTCATTTTTACTAGATTTATCATTTTATTTATTTGATTTAAAGAAAGTCTATTGATTGTTTGACTTCCATTAACTAGATTTTAAATTTAATCAAATTAAAAACAATGATTGTTTCAATGTTTATTGTTGATCACAAATTCATAAGAAAAATATTTTCGCACTAAAAATCTAAAACTACTGTTTCATTGCAGTTGTGGTTTTAATAAAAAAAAAAAATAAACAAGGGTAAAAAAAAAATGGTATTAAAAAAAAAACTCACGTCGACGTTTTAAATTTGACAAGCCATAAAGTTATCGCACTCTCGGGATCCCCGCCTTTTCATAAATTTCTTACATATTGCTATTAAAATGCTTTATTTAGCTACTACTTGAATCAGAAATAAATAATTAAAAAAAGAATTTTCTCACTATACTATTAATAATAATCGATTTAATTAAAGTGTCAAAACAAAGATGCAGCTCACTAAAAGTACACATGTCCGTTGCCCGCAAATTCCGTCTCTATGTACAAATCTTTCTTAGTACTACTTTTCTTTCTTTACGTAGCCATTTATGGTGCACTTTTTCTAAGTCATTTGAATCGTTTGTTCAGTATTATGAAAAAGAAAAAAATTCCCCTTTCAATTTTACGCATATGAAGTAAAACAAGGTAACAATCACTGTTTTTATGTGATTTTTTTTCCTGTCCGCCTTTTGTTTTGTGTACGTGTTGAGTTTCATGTTGTTTCCAATCGATTTGTTGCTGTCCCATTTTTAGACTATTTTTATTGACTATTTCTTTTATCTCTGATGAAATTTCATTTTAGAAATCTTAGTCTGATGTAATCATTCACCAAAAGACAAGCTTGTTTGCTTTTATTTTGGAGGGTAGTAAGAGTAAGAAACTAAAAAAACGGTAATAATACACAGCGCTGAGATATGGAAACCATTTTCCATGCACTGTTTTTATTTTTTAAAGTTTAAACTAAAGTATTTTTAGAATAGATTTTTTTTCAGCCTGGTGAACAATTTAAAAAAAATTTAAAACCTATTAAAAGGAAAGTTTTTCATATTTAATTATAGTGTCTTGGAAAATAAAGTGAAAAACTCCAAAACAAAATCTTTTGTGTTCTTTCAATTTGTTACATTATTTTCACAATTTAAAAAAAAAATCTGAACTTTTGAAATATTTTGTTCTTCCATGAAAGGTTTGAAATATTTTGTTTTGAGAACTTGGTTGATTCAAAATCAGTTTATTTTTTATTCTGTGCATTTTATATTCAAAGAAACTTGTCTGAATCTGTAGTGGCGGAGAAAGGTGAAGGTCGTGTGGTTATTTTAACGGAAAACAACAAACCGTATCTGGAATAAATTTGTTTCTTTGAAAATAATATTTTTTCGTTCACAATCTCCGAACAAGTAGTAGTAAAAAAAAAAAATACATTTTTTTTTTCATTTTTATTTCTATTTTATTTTTATTTTTTTTATTTATTTTGATTACAAGCAAGAGAAAACTTATCGTAATTCGGTCAAGGTCATTAGGTTAATTTTTGTTTTGGTAATGAACTGATTCTTTTTTCTCTTTCAAAAGATCGTTGATAATTGATAAAACAAAAATACGACCTATTATGTTTTTATTTAATATGACTGTTATTGATAGTTGGAATAGTAAACAATCCTTTTTTCCTGTAGTGTAGAATTAGCATTCCATTTATTTAACTAAGTGCAAGAAAAATGCTTTTGTGTTCGAAATTTCTTCTGTTAGTCCACCTCTTTCTAAAAAATAGTTGTTTTAATGAAGCCAATTTCCTTTTTAAAGGTAATTGGAAAATTTCTTCTTTTTTTTCTTTTTTTTTAATATTAAGGTGGATATAATTTTCTTTAAGCAGTTCAATAGTTCAGTCAATGCCTTACATCATAACATCCAAGAATCTTAGATGTTTTTACAAGTGAATAGTAAAAATGACCGTGATTTTCTAAAATTGAAAAACTACGATTTTATTTCAAAATAAAGTTTAACTTTAATGCTTAACAAAATCAAAAAATCCTCATTTATCAAATATCAAAATTTATTTTTAAATAGTAGATCGATGAAATTGTATTGTCAAAGACAGATTTTATTAACTTTTTTGAGTTTTGAATAATTGTCACAAATTTGCCTACATCCTCACTGTTGCTTTAGTTGAGAATGTCAATCTATTGGACTGCTTTGAATTTTTACATAATGTTTTTTGGTTTTTATGAAATAAAAAATGTATGGCTCATTGCTTAACTGCTTAATTTATTTGTTCTTTATCCTAAATTTAGTATTCTATGCTGAAAAGTAGTAATTGTATTAAGTAAAAAGTCAGTAATTAATAAATAGTTTCTCTCCCCAGTTTTTGTAATTCTTATTGTAAAAGTACTAATAATGGTTTGAAAAAGTTTCTCTTGGTTACTTTTCCTTTTTACAAAAATACATGAAAGAACATATAACATTTGTTGCAAATGGTATGATGGCAGAAAGGAAGAGCTTTTTAAAATATTTATTTACCTCTTTATTCCAATGATTTATAAATTTAAAAAAATAACCTTACTTTTGTTGTCCTTAAATTTATTTGACCAACATAAAGAATTGTTTTTATTTATATAATTTTAAAGAATTAGATAACAAGGAATATAAAAATTCAATGTTCTTCAAGTATTTATATAGCTTTAGTACTTTTCAGCTTAATATTATTAAAATTGATCAACTTAAATCTGATAAATTAAATATTTCTGTTTTCCTCATAGATCTTCATTGTTTTCATAATTTTTTTTTTTTGATTCTTTCACAACTGTAAATTTTATTATATTGTCTATATTTTATTGGAAATTTAGCTACTTCAGCCGTCACAGTATAGCAAGTCTTACTTAAAAATATTTTTGGTAATTTCATACTCTGATCAATATTGAAGATTCTGTAGCTGTTGTTCCATTTTGTTGTCTTTGACTTACCTACTGTCACTATTGCCCATTTTGGATGCTTAGCTGTATTTCCTTGCAAGATTTTCAAGGTGACCTGGCATTGGTCAGAGACAGAGAAGCATTACATTAAATTTACTTTTATTTGCATAATCTTTTTTTTTTTTTTTTTTTTTTTATAAATGTTTGCATGCAGCTTGAGACACTAGTGTAAATTTACAGATATTTTATAGTTATCTACTATCTGTGTAAATGTTTTTGTGTTGTGTCTTCAAAATGTCTTTTATGGTCTTCGAAGTTAATCTATGCTTACATATTCTTATCTGCCATTTATATAGATTCAAATTATTTTGCTTATATTAAAATATTAGTGGCTTTCAGCCTTTAGCATCTTAACTATTAGAGATGTACTAGTTATGACTGATATCAATTAGATTACTTTCAAAATCTTAACCTACTCTTTAAAGATTGGAAGCTAAACAGAATAATTAAAGACATTTATTTTACTGCAATAAATGTCATTACACTATGCATACCTTTTTTAAATTTAAGTTAATTTCATTATTTTAAATTTAAATTTTGAAAATGTTAAATTTATAACTTCCATAAACTGATTAAAAAGCTACTCTATATTCTTATCTGATTATTGTGCAAGTATTATCATTTTATTCAATGTATGACCAAACAAAAATCTTTAACGGTACATATTTATGAACCTTTCAAACAAGCACTGTTACTGGTATTGTCCTTTTTTTTTCTTTTTTTTTTTTTTTTTTTTTTCTTGTTAAGCATTATATTAGGATTAAATACTGTTATATAATGCCTTTTGTCTTAGTTTCTTTCCCTGAAATAGAATTATATCTTTTTTAACTCTGAATAAAAGTTCTTTATCCTTATGTAATTGAACTATTATCATTAGTTGTAGTAGAAATGGAACACAGACAGGATTTAACGCCATTTGACTGTAAAATAATTGTTGGTTTCAAAAAAAGCTCTAGGTTTTCCTTGTGCAACAGTTACAAGGGTATTCAAAAAATATGTAAATTCAGCATAAGCTTCACTGATACAGATGATACAAAAATGACCAACAAAGGTGGAAACATTGCATCAAATCATGTACTGATTAATCAACAAGTCAATTATTACTAATACAATATCACTCCCATTAGCCTTAACTCACTATTGAGACATTTTCTGTGCATGTGTATGTCTTGGACTAAGGCTTGAATATATCTTTTAAAGAGGAAACATAATGGAACTAAGATGTATGATTTCCTCTCAATTTTGAGAGGTTTAAAATTAAATTGAGAAATCTTTCTTCTGAGTATATTTTTGGATTCTCATTTTTAGACTATTTTGTTTATAGATATATATTTATTTTTTGACTATATTTTGACTGAAATATTGGCTTTCCTAAAAATGTTTTGCAAACTGAAGTGCTCCCACTCATCAGTAGACTCCAGTACACTGAAATGCTTTTTCCCTACTTGTAGAAATGAACTTAGCCAGATGA